CGCAATGTGGTCCGTTGATAGATTGATAAGATTTGAATCGCTTCAACATAAGAGCTTCGGACGACACGATGGACGCTACTCTTCCGCCATCGAATCGCGAATCGCTAGCATCATGGCGTAAAGGTCCATGGAAATGTTCTCGGTGCCGGGAGTGACATACAACTCCCGGTCGGGCCCGGGCCAGAGTTCCTCGACCGACAGTTGGAGGGTCGGGCACGGCACCGTCGGATGGGCCCATTTCGTGTGGCCCAGTGCCAGCTCGCTTGCAATTTCGTCGTCAAATACCTTCATCGTGGCCAAAATGTCGTCGTCGATCGTCGCCTTCTCGTCCAGGCTCAACGAAACCGAGCCAAAGCTGGCTGCAAACTGCAGCACCACGTGGCCCATCGCGTTGCGACCGTACTGGAGCACGACTGCGCTAAAGCGCTGGGGGTCTTCTGCGTCCTCGTCGAGAAAGTACTTGAAGGCCAGCGCCACGCGCAGCCCCGCAAGCATGTCAAAGTAGCCCTGCATCCAGGCCACGATGGTCGAGATGCTTCGGTTCACGACCTCGAGCTCAATGACCATGATCGGCGGGAGCATGGCGCCGTTGGCGTCTACGCACGCCATCTGCGAGTCGGCGATGCGCACCTCGCCGTTCGCAATGATCGGACGGCTCTGGGCCATCTCGAAAGTCGTGCTATATGGCGGCCGCGTGATGGCGCGGACAATGTAGATCGACGCGAGCGTCGACACGTCGTCGGCCTCGCCTTCGTACGTGACCGACAAGATGGCGCCGCAGAGACGACTGTCGTAGTCGTCGGCAAGCCATTCGACCAACGGCACGTTGCGCGCTACGAGCATGCGTGGCGCGTCGTTGACCTGCGCCTGAAAGAGGGTGGCGGCGGCCTCGAGGCCTTCGCGCGTGACGGCGCCTTCCATGACGACGAACGGTACCGTGTCGGAAGCTGGTTGCATTGCAGCGAGAATCGTGATGTGAAAGCGCTTCTCCCAGCGGAATTTGTCAACGGACAAGACCATTTTGGACAGTGCATGATCGATCGGCTGTCTTTTTTATGGCAAAATGACACGTTCGTTTTGCTCGTACGGTGCGATCGTGAAGTACTTCATGACACCTGGAGAAGACTGGCGGCTTGCATCTCAGCGGCGGCCGAGACCGTACGAATGGTCAAGTACCGAGAAGACTGGCAACGGCGCGAGACAAGGCCAGGCAAACACCTATCTTTTCAGTGTCTTGTGTCTCCACCCAGCTTCCTTGGATGAATGTTGGGCGCCAAAAAGATCGTCATATGCGAGCTTATCTTGCGTCTGTACCAAGCAAGTACCAAGTAGTAGGGCGGTACGCCTTGATTTGAGCGCGGGATGCATCGCCAGCATGGACACCCACTACCATAAGCTTGCTAAATTGAAAGACTCAAAGGGGATGACCATATACTCGTACGGGGTAAAGTCAGACTGGTGATTACTGAAGTCGACAACTAATCCTGCGCGCGAGGGTTTCTCGAGGCGGAAAGCATGGCACCGCGCGCACTCATGGCGAGGGTGTAGAGGTCGATGAAGAGGCTCGTGAGATTCGGCGGCGCCGCGCCGAGCAAGTGGTCTTCATCTTGGTACCAGAGGTCGTCCACCGTCAGCTCGATGCGCGGCGGAGCCAGCGTCGGGTGGGCCCAGCGCGCATGGTGCAGATCCGCTTCGTGCGCAATCCCGACGTGGAAATGCTGCATCGCGGCGCGCACCTCGTCGCTCATCCCGCGCATAGATTCAGGCGTGAGCGGCGCCGTGCCAATGCTCGCGGCAAACTGGAGCGTCGCAGCGCCAGCCTCGCCGTAAACGTACTTGAGCGCGACGGCGCCAAAGCGACCAACCTCGCCACCTTGGTCGCCGAAGATCTTGACGCCGACAGCTGTGCGGGTCTTGACACTGACGTACGCCTTGATCCATGGCTCCAAGACGACGAACGTGCGGTTTTTGTAGTCGAGCTCCAGCACCATGCACGGAGAGTCAAGGCACTCAAACGCACGAATGTACTGGAAGATCGCCATGTCCGGCTCGCGCACTTTGCCGTCCAGCGTGAGCCCTTTGCAAGGTCCAATGCAGAACGCATCGGGAAAGTTGATTGCCTGGTTGGCAAGATCCATCATCGTGCGGGCCAAAGGCTCCTGATGCGGACCGCTGGGGGTACGTCGGACGATGGAGATCGTGGCCAGCGTCGCCGGGTCCCACGGATCACCCTTGAACGTGGCACACAAGATGACGTGGAACTGCCGGGCGTTGAGCGCCTCGTCATCACGCCACGCGATCAGCGGCACGTTGCGCGCAATGAGCATCGGAGACATCTCGCCGTCATGGGCGCAAAAGACCTTGGCTGCCGCCGCGAGACCGTCGAGGGTAAGTGCGCCGTCCATCACGGCGAACGTCGGCGGCGCAGCGGTCGGCGTCGAGGCCTCGGCCGTCGTGTCCAGCTGGCTTGATTGCATCTCGACGTTTGACGACTTGTGGCGGCCGTTCCGGAGGCCCTTCGGCTGGCCGTTCGACAGGCCGTTCGACAGGCCGTTCGACAGACGTTGCTTCTTGCGTCCGCTCTTCTTGCTCTTCTTGCGGCCCATGGCGATCGAGCGGTAGAGACTGAGGAGGACGGGTCAAATCAAAGAATGAGGAAAGCTGAGCACGAGCAACGCGCTCGGATCACTTATATTGTCGAATAGAATGGCGGCTACTCTGCTTCTACCTACGGTCTTGTATACTACGACCAATGCATTATCATTAAATCCGTTGCCAAATGCAAAAAACAAGGCTGGACGAGACGGCGTGGAAGGCGGTTCTTGTCGTCGAACGGCAACCCACGCCGACGCGACCGATGCGAGGGTGATACGCCACCGCAGATGACCCTTCGTCACCAAGTAGCTTCTTGGATGATGGG